GGTAATCCCACTTGTCCGATCCTTATCTCATAAAGATTTTGAATAACATCATTCATATATATATATATATATATATATATATATATATATATATATATCATATAAATATGTATTGTACATAAAATATTATATATTGATATAAGAAATCAAGATTTTGGCTCGATTATCATTTAAGTTTTTCTCAGCCTCGCAACAAGTCTGTAGTGCCCTTTGATAGAGTATCTAAACATACAAATGCCAAGCAAAATAGAGAGTTCGTGAATATCTCACTAGGCGGAAAGTAAAGAGATGTGCGTATACGGCATGAGAAGCGGCTCTGAGTATCTTAGGAATTTGCATATCTAGCACAAAGTAAAATGCCAGCGAAAGTGAAAATTGTTGCAAGGCAAAGAAACTGGAATTGGAATAACTTAGAAAAAAGTAGGCGATGGCGATTCAAACTTATTTGAAACTTCGTGCCCAAGCATGTCACTCTCCCATATTTACATAAGAAGTATTTATCTACGAGTGCATCAACTTAGAGCTGATTGAATATATTAAAAAGTTACCGGTATTATCTTTACGGAATGAAGCGAAGTAGATTGAAGTACACATAATTTGCGGTTGTATTCAAGAAGCTTCCAGTCCACTCACAGTCGATGGCAATATTCAACGTTTCTTATTATTTGAATCAAAAATTGTTCAACTTTCAATTCGTAAGAAGCTTGAACTATCGGGAGAACTATTTATTACTTAGCCAGCATGCCTTTTATTCTCTCAGTCAATCCTCTTTTCACTTTATTTTAATTCACAGCTTTGACTTTTCCGTCCTGTTCCTGTTCCCGTTCCGTTTCACGCCTCAGCTGGGTCCACGAACTGATGTCATAATTCATATAAAAGAAAATTCTTCGACAATCTTTGTGCGTTTTCTCCTTTTCCATTTTTTCACTTCTTATTTTTTCTTTTCTTTGCTTTTTCCTCTTTCCACTTGGCCACACAAAAAGGTGCGGAAAGTGCAGCGCATTTTTCATCATTTTCCAATCTTCCATTTACTGTTTATCAATATGGTGGGCATCATCAATTCACATCGCTCCCACCGCAACGATTCCATTGAGAGCTGAGTTCCTGCGCTTTTTCAATATTGACAATATCATAAATGTTATTTCTTCTTTTTGTATTAAACATTATTATTATTTTTATTCATTTGTTGGTGTATTGTTTTTGCTGTGAGCAAATATTTATTTAATTATTGCGTCACACAAAAGAAAATCGACAGAAATATGCAGCGGAATATCTCGCCCTGGCCGGCCGAGGACCACAAAGGCAACAACAGAAGGGAATGCAAATAATAACAATAAGTTACTTAATTAAATTTTTTACATACCGCTGAGTGCTGCCGCAGAAGGCACAGGACACGTTAGCAGCGGTTTCTCCCCCTTTGAATATCTCTGTCTCTCTCCCTCTCCCGCTGCTTTCAGTCCCCTCTCTGACTTTAATTATTTCACTCTTTCTGTCACGCTTTGTCTCCAGGTAATTATTATTGAATTGTCTGCGCATAATTTCAATTATGAAAACCAAATAGTTCAATTATATTGACGTCCTGGCGATTTTCATTAATTGTTAAATGATAAAAGAAAGGGACTGACCATTCAGGTCGATTTGTAAGGAGCTTAATTATAAAGGGATTTGACGATTTGATTGACGGATTTGACGAAGGCGCTGTAATTAAGCACGCAAAAACCAAATTAATATATCATTTGGATTCTGCAACACACACACACACACACACACACACCCACATAGATTGTAGCGAAATGAAACTGAAGCCTGCATAAAATCGAAATGCAAACTAATCAAATCAAATTTCAATTATTGTGCTAGCCAAGTGGCGCGGGCGCGGGCAACCAGCAGCGGCCCATGCGGTAGCTAACGTGCAAAAATGCACTATGTCCCGACCCTCCCTGCCGTCACCACCACCCGCCACTAGTCATCCATGAGCCGTCGAACGTCCACCGTCAGCCGTCACGATTGCCCCTCGACGGCAGTACATTGCCATTTCGCTTGATTACATGCATTTTATATGCGCCGGCCCGAAAGTAGGCTACACTTTTCAATCACAATCAAATTTTATGCCTCACATACAGGTGCGCATGCATGTGTGCGCCTGTGTGTGTGTGTGTGTGTGTGTGTGTGTGTGTGAGGCCATGCACTATATGCGATTCGCCCGTAGAAGCTCACAATCAGATTCATTTACATTTCCGCCGCCCAACAACAGCAGCAATAACAACTCGCAACTTCATTTTCATTGTTTTGAAGGTTTAGCTGGAAGTAAGTGTATTCCGAAATGGAATTTTAGATGGCTTTACTATTAAATTGAAAGCCGCAACATTGTAAAATGCGAGCGTCAAATCGAACGAAACTCTTTTACCAAATGCTGTATAGAATTTAGGAACCGAAATTTCAGAGTGAAAGCCGATTACAAATATATATTCCAAATAAATCAAATAAATTTGGTCGATACAGTTTAATGTTGAGTTTATAGCAATTTAAGTTGGTATGCAACTTCAGTATTTTTAATATTTTTCTAATTTTTAAATTTAATATTTTTTGTGAATATTTATATACAGAGCTTAAAAGGATTTCATTGTCAGAGTATGGCCATTTAAGTTCTCTCTTTCTTGAACAAGATGTTGCATTGCATGTCTTGGAGTATTTAATATTCTGGCTTCGTGTATGCATACAGTAGTACAAAGATATGTTAGCGTCCTGAACAAAATTAGAAGACTAAGAATAACTGGTCCGGGACTCTATTTCAAAACTTTGATATGTGTTATTTATACCCAATACATTTTTCATCCATTCAAACATAGGTTCACTCTCGCTAAGTCTAGTCTGCTTTCAATATAAACTCTAAAAAATAATATGTACAATAAGATCTCATGTGCAAGTAGTAGCCAAAAACCTATTCAATATTGAGAATATGATAATTTCATCTTGCAATATTCGCATTCACAGCATTGCAAGTAAAAATCTATTTGAACCCGTGCTGACAAGGCAAGGCCATAAATGTATTTTTATGAAAATTATGCACATTATAATTCGACATCGAATTCAGATTCATAAACGTAACCGAACATCATTACGTTTCGTCTGCACAAAGAGTCTTAACATGCAAACGAATTGACAGTTTGCTAACCGGGCCTGACATTTCTGATCTGACATTGAGTTGCTTCCCCAGCTGAGGCACATTTGATTTTCGTGTGTTGAGCATGTCGTACTCGTAGCTCGTAGGGCTGAGCAACTATTTCAGTGCACCTGCGCTGCGGTGGCTGTCGATTGAACAACATTATGGAGCAACAGCGATGGGCGACAAGCGACTCATTCTAATTTACATAACAGCTCTGTTTGTGTGTGTGTGTGTGAGAGAGTTTAGTCAATTCAGCGTTAAAAACCTTTAAGTTTAAGTCGGGTAGGCAGACAGGCTGGGGGCTGGTAAGAAGACATTCAGGCGACTACCACAAGCGACTACAATAAAAACTAAATTAGCAGTCCGCACCCAACAGCAAATACACACACGCGCACACACACTGACAGAAGCTGACTTGGAAGCAATTTCACTTGTTATTCGCTTGAGTTTTATTTCGTCGTTGGCGTATAATTTACATTTTGCTTCGGTTCATGAGGTGCCATAATCATAAATTGACAAGTTGAAATTTGCACATGACTGTAGCACGCTGCCTTCAGCCGGCAGCTGTATCTGCATTTTTAATGCATTTTCCGTCAGTGGAAGAGCCGAACGGCAGAGCAGCCGAGCTGCCTTACGAGCTGCCCATTAAAGTGTAAAGTGTTTCAGCTGCTGCTTGCAAATTTTGACATGTTTTTAAGTGAGGATGTTTTGTTGTTTTCTGCCACTGGCGGGCGCTGCTGACTGCAACAAAAACACAAATTGACGCGGCTTGTTTACATGATTGCCGAAATATATGCAGCATGAGGTGGCTTATCGAGAATCGTGGCCCGGCAAGTCGATCGAAAAATTTGCGAATGTTTTTCCACTTTCGCAGCAAGCTTCAAGTCGCTTTTTCCGGCAGCCAAGTTAATTGAATGGCATGTGGCACAATTAGCACAGCTGGCGCATAAGCGAGTCGATCTGTATGCGGCATGGCCCCATCGGATGTCGGTTAACCAGAGCAGCCGTACGACTATCTGCTAATGAACCAAAGGCTC